GCGGTACTTAAGGATCTTCGAAATTTCCTCCGCAACTGCGGTACCTCCGAAGACGGGCGTGCGGCTGCCGAAAGGGTTTTCTCGGTCTTCGTACTCGTCTCGGAACCACTTCAAGGCCGCGTTGTGCTGCTTATAATTGCCGTTCCAGTTCGCCCTGAAGTTCTCGAAGAATTCCAACTTGAAAATTGGCAGCGGCTCATTGCGCACAATTTGAAACAGCGCAACTGCGCCTTGTTCTTCGCGCCCTGGGGGAAGCAGGGGACCGCCTCCTTTGCCCGCCGCTGTTGCGGCCGCGGGCTCCGCGGCAGGAGAACCTGCCGAGGCACTCGAGCGGCCACCTTCCCATGCATTCCACCAGCCACCCTCGTCGTCCCACCAGCGGGCGCCCTCCATTCCCCAACCCTCGCATCCGTTGCCGCCCCATCCGCCGCCCTCCCATCCGCGACTGCGGTCACTTCCGTCGCCGCCATCCTGCGCTTTTCCTCTCCATCCGCCAAGAGAATCTCCGCCGCCCCAGCCGCCACTGCGGTCACCTCCGCCGCCGTATCCGCCACTGCGGCCGCCCCAACCCCCACTTGTTCCCCAACCGCCGCCGCTGCTCTTTGAAGAATCCGCAACTGCGGCCCGTGTTTCCTCTTCCGCTTTGTCATCCCACCCTGCACGCATCTCTGCCCCGACTGCAGGCCGCGGAGGCGGGCGCGAGCCCGCCCAACCGCCGTGAAACCTACCGTCGGCGCGGGCTTGAGCCGAACGTGCATGGAGGAGGAGGATGAGGAGGAGGAGGGTGAATGTGAGGAGGATGATGCGTTCCTGGGAGGTGTGCCTTCGCGTGCAACACAAGAGCCCTGAGAATTCCTGAGGCCCCTCCAACAGCCAAGGACGCGGATGACAAGAAAGTCGAGAAGATTGGGAACCGATTGAGGATTAAGAGGCGTGCGACGAAAGGGATGATGATGACGAAGAGGAAGATCAGTGAAGGGGAGGAGCGGACAGGAATTATGGAGGAGTGATAGCAGAGGAGGAAGAGGGGGAAGGGGGAGGAGGAGGAGGAGGAGGAGGAGGGAGAGGAAAAGGGGGAGGAGGAGGAGGAGGAAGAAGGGGAGGAGGAGGAGGAGGAGGAGGAGGAGGAGGAGGAGGAAGAGGAGGAGGAGGAGGAGGAGGAGGAGGAAGAGGAGGAGGACGACGACGACGAGGAGGAGGAGGAGGAGGAGAGGGAGAAGGAGAACGGGGACAGGAGGACAAGGACGGAGAAATATAACAAATGAGGGGGAGGAGGCGGAGGAGGAGGAGGACGAGGAGGAGAAGCAGGAAGAGGAGGAGGAGAGGGGGGAGGAAGAGTGCGCGTGAGACTGGGAGAACGAGGTAATTAATTAGAGAGGGAACGGGGGAGGAGGGAGGACAAGGAAGAGCATACAGCGACGAGAAGAGGAGAAGGAACAGACGAAGGCTCCTGCTGATCGCATTTCCGCATCGTTCAAAGCAGTGCCGGGGCACTGCTTTGAACGACTGGTGATGTTCAAAGCAGTTCCCCGGCACTGTGTTCCATCGTCGCCGTTATAAGGGCTATCGGATTATGTGTTCCCCCCCTGGCCAAGCTTGCGACGACACCGCCGAGCGACCACCGCATACTTTGCACCACATAGCTTGCGACGATGAGGCTTCGCACCACATAGCCCTGACCATAGCTTCCACCAAATACTCTGCACACCATAGCTTACACCGCATAACTTGCGACATTGTGGGTTTGCACCACGCAGCTTGCCCACTACAGTTTACACTAACTACGTTGCCCCACACGCCGTACCCGACATACCTTGCGACGATGTGGGTTGGCACCGCATGCATAGCTTACACCGCATGGCTGGAACCACGTAGCTTTCACTACATGCCTTACATCGCAAGTCTCCCGACTATGTGAGACTGCACCGCGTAACTTGCCCCACATAACTGGCGCAACGTAGCTGGCGTCACATCACAAAGTGTGAGGACGTCTCAAGCAAAACCGCGCCGAAACCAACCAAAACCAGGTACATTGTGAGGAGGCCTCAGGCGAAACCGCGCCTACACCAATCAAAACTACGCTAATTGTGAGAACGTCTCAAGCGAAACCCGCTCCAAACCAGGACCAACCAGATGCCAAACCAAGCAAGTGATGAGGATGTCTGAGGTGGGGCGCCCGGCCAAACCAAACCACCCCAGGCCAAAGCATGGACCAAATCAGGAAAGTTCGGAAAACGTCTCAAGAGAAAGGTCATGAACCTTTCTCCATCCATCCACTGACCTCACAACATTGAGTTTGGAGGGTGAATGACCGAGGGAGTGCGATCTACCGTCGATGGCCTGGAAAAGCTTTATACAGGGGGGGTCAGAAACCAAGGACCCCCTCCCCGAATCCAAAAATCAAGGGTGGCAAAAACCAAAGGGCCCCCCCCACCCTGACCCTTCACCGCCACCCCCCGGGGAAGAAGACTCGGAGGGGTCCGGAACCCCCCCCGGAAAATTGCACAGCATGTCCCCCCCATCCCCCCCGGGAAAAACACTTGAGGGATCCGATACCCCCCGGGCAACGCGATGACGAAGACGACGACGACGACGACCACGACGACGACGACGACGACGAACGACGGACGACGAACGACGGACGACGGACGACGGACGACGGACGACGGACGGCGACCACGACCACGACCACGACGACGACGACGAAGACGACGACGACGACGACCACGACGACGGCGACGACGACGACGACGGACAATGGATGACAACCAGGACTACGACCACGACCACAACAACGACCACGATGACGACGAAGGACAACGACAACGACGAAACCAACGAACACAACGACGACGACGCCGCCGCCGCCGACGACGACGACGACCGCGATAGCGTCAGCGGCGGAGGCGGCGCACCTGTCGCGGGCGCCCGCGCCAGGCGCGGGGTGTGATAGAAGCCAATCAGGGCTGAATACCAACTCTGAAATGAACCCTATTATAGGTTCGCTTCACCTATACCAGAATCCTACTGGGGCTGGATCTACTTCTAATCAAACACTTACAAAGCTAATCCCAACTCTTATCGAATACCACTGGGGCTCGATCCAGATCTGATGGACTCGTATCAGGGCTTGGTCCAGCTCTTACAGGATTCTACGACTAGGGCTGGATCCAGCTCTGCTCAAATCCGATCAAAGTTCGATCAACCTCAAACAGAATTCTACAAAGGCCCAGCCCATCTCTAACATAATCCTGCTCAGGCCCCGTCCAGCTCTAATAACATCCTTCTAGGCTTTTTCCAGCTGTCTCAATATTCTACTAAGGCTCGACCCAGCTCTGATGGAACCCTACGAGGGCTCGATCGAGCTCCCTCCAAGAGAATCAACATCCTGCTAAGGCTGCCTCCAGTGGAATCCTACTACGGCTCGATCCCACTCTGCTAGATCCTACTACGGGTGGGTCTCGCCCTGTCAGAACCATGTCAGGTCTACTGGATTTCTACGACGCTCGAACAAACATCAATGCGCAATATGTGAAGGGATTTGGATCCAACTCTGCTACGGTTGGGTCCAGCTCTAATGAAATCCGTTGTAGGTTCGGCCGAGCTTCAAAATACTGCTTCTAGAGCTCGACTCAACTTTTATCGCATCCCATTCGGGCTCGATCGTCGTCGTTGCCGTCGTCGTCGCCGGCATCGTCGTAGGCATCCTCGTCGTCGCCGTCGTCGCCATCGCCATCGCCATCGCCGTCGCCGTCGCCGTCGCCGTTGCCGTCGCCGTCGCCGTCGCCGTCGCCGTCGCCGTCGTCGTCGTCGTCGTCGTCGTCGTCGTCGTCTGCCAAATTTCTGGACCCCTCGAATAATTATCTGGGGGGGGCGAATGTTCTGGACCACTCCGTATGATTTTTCCGGGATGGGATGGGATGTCTGAACCCTTCCGAATTCTGTTTCCCAAAGGGGGGTGGTCTGGTTTGGGGTGAAAGGGTTGACCCCCCCCCCTGCCGGCAGTGGCAGAAAACGACCTTTCCGCCAAAAGTGAGCGATTATGCTTGAAAGTGCTAACCGATTCTGGATGTGTTTGGAACTCGTGCGCGGCCCCCCACTTTTGCGGCCTCCCCGCGGCGTCTCCCAAAACGATCGATTAATGTGGCTGGGTCGCCACAGGATGTATGCGGCTGGGGCGAAAGTGCATGTACGCGGCCAGGGCGCAGCAGCATACATTGGTCTTGCGAGTGTTGTTCGGATTCGGAGAAATATTCCCGAGGCTGTAGCTGGTCCGAAGAGGACTCGAGAGGGCGCAAAATGGCCACACACGGACCCCAAGAGACTCCCCAAACGGCCACGAAGGCCTCAAGAGAGCCCCAAGGTAACACAAGAGGGCCCACAAGAGCCAGAGAAGGCTCCAAGAGACCCCTAGGACTGTCCACAACGGCCCAGGTCAGCCCCAAGACTGCCCAAATGGGGTCCATGCGGGCGACTCGAGAATGGAAGACGAACGTTGTCATATGTGGCGGCTGTCCTCGTGTTCCTCTTCCTTATTTTCTTCCTCCTGCTCGTCATCGCCAACATGATGATGATGATGATGATGATGATGATGATGATGATGATGATGATGATGATGATGATCAGCATAATCATCATCACCACCACCACCATCATCATCAGCATCATCATCGCCACCATCAACAACAATAGCATCATCACCACCACTATCGTCATCATCACCATCACCACCATCAGCATCATCATCATTGGCATCGTCACCCTGGTCCAGGTCATCATCACAAGCACCGTAACATTCATCCCTCATGGTACGCCACACTCACCAATTTCCTCTCATCATTATCCTGATCCTCTCATCGTCATCACCATGATCCCCTATCGACTCGAACATCTGCCACCGAAGCTGCTGGAAGGGGCTGGAATGGCAACAATTCGGGGGTTCCTTCGCGCTGCAAGAGCATCTCTGTGGGGGATGGGGGCTGTTCAGGAGTCAACCATGCATGTCAGCTTCACTGCTCCCAACTTGGACCAAATACCGCGGCAATCCGAAAACACATTGACGGAACGCGACGTTGGCGAGGCCCCGAAGGCCTACTCTGCCGACATTAAGGCGGAACTCACAGCCATCGCCCGTTGCCCGTCCTCTCACCCGTGGACTCGGGCCAGGCTGTATACCTTGCTGGTTGTACAACGTGCTGCAATATAGTCGCTAGCATTCGTGGATGGGTAGCCGTACTGAGGCAACGTGTGACCAATCCAGAAACCTGTCCTAAGAGCCCCAACGACACAGCAGGCGCCACTGCTTTTTCTCAAACTCCCCACCGCCCCAAAACATCGAAATGTTACACTGCATCGCCATGAGCGGCTCACGGCAGCCCGAATAAAGCATTATCACATTGTGGGTTGTCTGTTCTGTCCGTCACACGGCGGGGAGAGGGCAAGGTGGTAACCTAAACGGTCGCCGCCGATGGACTGACAAGTCTCACATGTGCAAGCTGACGTGGGGAAGCGGTGCTGCATCATGGGCTATGAAGAAGCTGCCTTCGCAAAGCCTCGCAGGGGATGACGGGCAATCGCATCAACACGTCGGATCGCTGGACGAAGGATGGCAGTTTCTCGAATCGTTAGGCATCGTATTGAGTCATTGTTGGGTGTTCCACACAATGACAAGCTGGTGTTAGGAGACATGCGCTCACGAGTGCTCACCAGTCTTGCATACAGAGGACCCGCATCATCATAGGGCGGCCTAACATGCTGCTCACGCTTGTAGTGAGAGCAGCACTTGAGGGACCCACAATGATCTGCTAGGGATAACTGCTGCATAATGAAATCTGAACGTGCACAACCCGCAAAGGAATGTAGCGCTGCAGCTGCCTGAATAACTTCCTGCCGAAATGGCGCGTATTCCGAAATATAACCATCGCACGCGCCCAAAACGTAACGCGGAAGAAGGACAGTGTTAAAGAACATGGAGCCGTGGGTGCTCGAACGCTGCCCCTCCCACTCCCCCCCTCCCCCCATGCCCGCGTTTCCCACCAGCCAAGGGTGGGGCAAGGGGCTGGACGGAGATGGAGGTGGGAGCAAGGGAGGACGGAGATGGAAGGGAAAGGGAGGAAAGACAGGAACGAGAGATGAGCGGGAGAAGGAGGAGGAGAAAGATGGATGAGAAGGAACGCAGGAGCAAGGATGAGGGCGATGAGAATGAGGAGGGCGGGAGAGGAAGGAGTCATGGGTGCGGACAAGTAGGCTTCTCCTCCTCCTCCTCCTTCTCCTCCTTCCCATTCGTGTCCCCCTCCTCCTCCTCCTCCGCCTTCTCCTCCTCCTCCTAAACCGCCGACCGACCTTCTGTGGGTCTCCAGGCGTGTGAGATGTTTACCACCCCGTAGACCCCCCCCCCGGGAAACCAAACTGCGCGTTTGACACACCCCTCGCTCGACGCGACCCCGGCCGAACTCACCAGGGTGGTCCGGCCCTCCCCGCGCCTCCTGTGGAGCTCCAAGGCAGCCCCTGAGGCCTCCCAAAACGCCCCCAAGACGGTCCAAGAGGGCCCCAAGTCGCTCAAAGGTCGCTCCATCTTGGCCGCAAGCCCTCCACGATAGCCCCAAGAGGCCCTCCAGGGCTCCCACACGGACCCCAAGAGAGCCCCAAGACGGCCCCAGCACGGCCCCAAGAGCGCCCCAAGAGCTTCCCACGAGGGCCCCTTGACGCGGTTTGCCCCCTCCCCCCCCTCCTCTCTTCGCCCCCCCGTGGGATCCAAGAATGGCCAGAAGAAGTCCTCCAGAAGAAGCCTTCCAAGGCCACCCCCTTGCTCCCAGAGATCGCTCTGTTCATCCTGGTTGCCTGATTTGTTTCACTATATTTTCCTGCCATCTCTCATGTGCAAATTTTTTGAACGGGCTGGCGGGGATACGCGAAGCGTAAAGAACTATGAGATGATTCCACGTTATATTCTTGTGAACTATACTGCTTATTAGACATGCGCAGCGCCTGGCACCCTATACACTCTCGTCCAGCACTGCAGACTCCAACATCAATAGTCACAAGGATGAAGTGTGACATCAGATAACAACTCGCTGCGGCTCACATGCCCCCTCTCCAACATTGCGGGCGGGAGGAAACGAGCGGGGACGGGGGAGGGGGAGGCGTGTGGCAAAATGATGTGTGCAGACGCCCCGTCTCGGTAAGGACGAAAGAATCATCACATGGGTGCACGCCACGATGCGCCCCGTCGCAGTTCCTGCACTCGCGAACCTGCACTTTTGTTTGCTCGCCCTCTCTGATTGTCCAGTGCTCTGCCCTCAGCGGCCTCCTCACAAATCCCATTCGTATCATATGCTGAAAGCGAAGTCGCCTTAGCGTCGAGAAAGGCTGTCGAGGAAAACTTTCACCTTCCTCATCGTGTCCGGCTCGGGCATGTCATTGTGCCCTCTGCGTTCGAAGGGCACAATGGGCTCTGCGTTGACGAGCAGTTCGTGTATGGC